GTTTCATAGCGCTGCAAAACAACGTATAGGGGAGAGGGCGTGTCTAGAGTAAATAGGGGCGTCATTTGGCACCGATTCCAAAAGTCGCCACTGTTATCCAAGCTAATAAACCTATCGAAAACTCCTATTTTATGATTGATGTCGAGAGAGATTTAGCGGTACAACAATCTTGGCAGTTACTCTGAAAAAAAACAGATTCCCTCGGTAAATAGGAGTAGCCAGAAACCGGTATATTTTCTCATTTTGCTAACCATAAGTCAGAAAATCCGAGAACTCCAGGGAATCCTTCCCATTTCTCTCAGCTCTCGGAATTACGTGGTGCTTCCCGCACTTACCTTTTGCTCTTGCTCGTCAGTAACCAGTCCTCATTACTGATCGTTTAGCCGGACACCGTACCTCAACTGACCATCGACATGACTCGATGTCATCGCGTCTGCGAAGCGGATTCCATTACAGGTGGGTTGACAGGTAGACATAACAGTGAATCGGTTCGAGCAGTTTCTTTCAGGGAATTCACACTCAATTCTAATGGCCTTCAAGACAGAAGGCGATTCTTCGCAGCCATCGATTGTCTACGTGAAGGCGGACACAACGGATGAGATTCGTTGGTGAGTTTGAGAAGATGCGCCTCTTTTGTAAATCACGTCACTTCACATGAGACGTTATGGATAGGCCGGAAGCTGGTCTTTCGAGTCTTCGGAGTCTTAGTGAAACATCAAAGGCTCTGTTTGGCCAGCGTTAGATACTGTCCCTCTTCCCTGTTCTATTCGAATCATTTTCAGGTGGCAAAATATGCTGAACGCATACGCCAAGCAAAACACAATACAGGTGCGACCTAGGCGACAAATGACCGACGAGAAGTATGAACCGATAGCGGTGAGTTCCCATTTTGATATGGGGTTGAGATCGACTCATGAGAAGTTTTTCGACCTGCTTCCAATTCCTAGGTGCAGTTTTTTTTGTCTGCGCAGTGCTGGGTGCGCATCAAGAGGGGTCATATTAGGGTCAATTTAGGTCACAGCTTTGACGTAGAGACATACTTCACGCTGGGCTGCATGGGAGAAGGAAAGACATTGAAGCTGTGTGCATGGAAGGAGCGCCTCCCATGGAAAGGCACAATGGCTGGGCGTGTCCGCCCATCCTAAGCATGAGTAGTGCCTTTGATGGTACCATTCACGAATTTTGGCATCTTTGATTCTGTAGTTCTAGAAAAAGCCCCGAGGCGGATTAATTATGGGGCTCAAGAAAGGCGATCTTCTGTTAGGATGAATAAACTCGAAATTTGGGTGCCTCGGAGTAGGGAGGCATAGGAGCTCAGCCGTAGAAGTGAAGAATTCTATGGGATGTAGACCTACAGTAGTATGCCAGAGCTCATATGAGAAGGAGAAGGTAGTTAGGTTGCCCCGGTGAGCAGGTGTAATAACGTTGTGTTTTTACCATAGATGGAATAGGCGCCGGAAACATTGAATGGGGCCAGTTCTGAGGTTTATGGATTTGCCGGTATGATTACAGATTTATTGCAGGTGATTTCTCCTGAGCCGGATATGGAGTTTTCGGCTTGTTCGTCACGATGTTCATCCCTGGATCGACTGGAAGCGGAGCGAACGGCGCCAGTCACTGCAACCGTCGCCACTTCTGAATCAAGAGACCTTACCTCCATCGCTGGTGTAGCTGTCAAAGGCACTCACGGAACGCCACGCAGTGTCAAGCAGAGGCGAATCGCCAATTTCGAGGTGAGTTTAATTTCTTTCCAGAAATAATTTCAAAGGGAAGTTATTAGACATTTCGGTCAGCTGAGGCGCTGATTGCAGCCACTCATAGGGTTGCATCTAGGAGGGTCCTCGCTTTGGCGACTCACGCGAATCGGTCAGTCTTCCTCAGGTTACTGATGCGAAGTTTGTAGCGCTTCTGCACATCTCACTGTGAATGCAAGGCGCGTGACGCTGCTTGCACTTTGCGCGCCAACTAGTCGCCACAAGATAGGTCTACCGCCCTCCACCGTGGTAACGAACCGTTCACTGCAAAGTTTTGATCCGGGGCGAGCCCTCAGAATGAAGGGGTGTGAGCTTGGTATAGGCGCCCAAACAAAGGTTAGGGTTTCCAACAGCCAATCTAGTCGATCTAGAAGCTACCGACCTGTCTGCCAGCAACAGGAACACCGCCAATGAAGCATGACTTTCATGCTTCAGTAGCGGTGCGGAATCTTTGAAAAGCGCAGCTTTCACACCTCAGGCAAATGTAATTTTGCGGGAGAGTGACGCATCGAATGTGTATGCCCTAGGGATTCTAGGGCACTTCACGAGCTCGCCTTCCCTTCAGAAAGGGTGGGGAGAACGACATTTTTTGGTGCTTCACAACCTATACCTATAACTCTATTGTGGCTAGTAATGGCTGCTTAGCGCTTAGAGACACATTCCACAAACAAGAATCCCTGTGCATTAACGACGAGCAGGTCCGCAGCTTCTCATAGTGTAACAATTGTCTCTTAGAAGTGCGTTGTAAGAATCCCTGCAGGTCGTGTCTCGATTCTGACCTCGTATAGTTATCCGTTTCGTTGCTTGTACAACTATCTGTTCCCTCATTGGGGTACCTAGCCTTTCTTGCTTCTCTATTCATCGCATGCTCATTCAATCTAACCAAGCAGGCCTCATTTAGGGTATTTTTGACGGGTTTCTCTGCTTTCTTCTTTACTAATAAGTCAATCAACGCCTACCAGTCCATTTCTGAACCCCCTACCCACGATCACCCACGCGGACTGTGCTTTTGAGTCAACTCCAGTTTGGTAGATCCCACGTCTCAGCGTCTAGGGTTAAGCTGATCGGCGTCATGACTGTTGGATATCACTTTTATGTCTTGGAGTTGCTGGTACTCTCCGGGGGAGTGGGAGAGCAAGTCCGTTTCATGTCAGCGTTGAGCCCAGACTGGCTCATTACGCAGAAGCAAATTCTCGGCATATCATCTTCAGCCTCGTCGGCTAGTCCATGGGCTGGAACAGTTAGAGAGTGTATGAAGAAAGTGCTGCCACAAATGTAATACTATTTTTACAGAGCAGGATTGATCTAGTAAGCAGTACAGTCCTGCAGGTAACGCGTAAAAAATTTTTACAAAATATGGCCCCCTCAAAAGCTTCCGCCGACGCAATCCTCCCCTCCCATCCTACCATGTTCCCAAAATTTCCCAACTTCTACACCTATCCATGGTTTTTTCTTCACGAAATTTCCTTATTTTTCTCCCCGAACATGGAACATTTTTTCGAAAGCAAATGCGACTCTCCTTACTCCGCGACTTCCGATCATGTTAGAATTTTAAACAATGTGAACCAGCTACTAAGGCACCATCGCATGCCTTGGTTTTCATAGAACCTTCACAAACTGCAAAGTACTCGCCCTTGGACTCAAGCCGCTTTTTTTTTTGCTCGATGGTGTATTTTGTGCATTTGCAAGTTCATATGACTCATTTCAGCTCATGTATTTGTTTAGGGAGGAACCGTTGAGACGATCAGAATCGTCAACGCACTCGCAAACTCCGCCCACAACCACCATTACGAACACAACCGCTACGGGCAGTTGTCCCACAATTTCACGGTTGGTCATGGTTTACAGTAATCTTCGCTTCTAGTCCGTACTCCGGCATACTTCCTCATCCCTCATTTTACCTAATTGTATGAGTAAGCCAGTTGGCTGCAGCTTTTTCCTGCTCTGAATGATAGAACCGGTTCTTTGATTGGCAAAAGCCATTCACCCACACTTTATTGGGTACTGTTGTCGGCGATTACAGCAGTCATCCGCTCAAGTTTTTGGTAACGCTCAGTAATTGGGTAAGCTGAACCGTCTCTTCCATTCACGTCTCCGTTTACTCCAAACGGTTGAGTATTTGTTCGTGACGTTCTCCAACTGATCGCCCTTGTTCGCACTATTGACCCTTCTCCAAACACGAACCGTTTTTCCGAGGAAGATCCCATTGTATCCCATTGGGCTGGCGTTTGACCACAAATGCCTGTTGTTGCCTCCATTATTGACGCGACTCGCAGAACTCGCTCTTGATCAATTATCCAGCTATCATTGGATTATTGTCCGGTTCTCTTCAGGACCGTACCGTCACCGCCTGCATCGCGAAGTCGGCTATCATCCGCCTCCGTTGATTCGATCGCTCCGTCCGGCCCCCCTCAACAGATCCAAGGCGAAGAGAAGAAAAATCTGGACCAGGTAAGCTCTTGAAATCATAGCATTTATTTACTTTTCCATTCGGAAATATCGGCACTGTTTACCCTTTGCAACCCCTGCAAAAGGAATTCAGACCAGGTTTGGATTTAGGCCCTGTTGTGCGATGGGGATCTCCATGAATGGGGTCATATTTGGTCCCTAGAGGAAAAGATGTCATATTTTCTCCTAAGAAAAATGTTTTCGATCGTTTATTTCTCTTTTTTCTATTACGCAGATTTCTTACTCCCCCAACCTCCTCCCTTCGCTCGACAGCAGCTTAATGGAAAACTGGAGGAATTTTCATGAAAAAACGTGAGATGGTAGAAATAGGGAGGCAAATTCCAGGTGTAACGGATTCCGTTGGCGATTTGGCGAAGGCGGTGGTCTTGCCCCAACGGGAAAGGACTGAGAGTTCTACCCACGTGTTGACAAAAATCTTCATCAACGGCAGGACGCTACCCTGGCTAGGCGCTAGAAACATCTCATAGACTGCTTCACGCTCGCTCAATAAAATGGTTTGGCTGCTGGCCACAAACGGCTTGTGCCAATCAGGGTACAGCATCGTTGTGTGAAATACACTTAGGGGTCGTACTTTTTGGCTGCGAAGGGGCATTGCGGCCGACAGGAGATAGGGGTCGATGTGACTCAGAGAAATTTGCGACATTGGTGTTGGCATTCTCCCCCCCCCCCCCCCGCTCGACAGCAAAATTTTTCTGTGAAAGTACGGAAATTTTGGAAATTTCCTGGTAACTGCGAAAAAAGTGGAAGGAAGTCGGTAAAAATCTAAGAAATTCTCCGGTTTCACATTGGCTATATACCCCTCCCCCCTCGCGCCCGACGGAAAATCTCAGGGTGAAAAAATGGAAAATGTGGGGAAATTGGTAGGTAGGTGCTGGGGAAGGGTGAGCTCGTACCATGTTTCCTTCGGGAAGGGAGATCGTACCAAGACCATCCCTCGTCAGAGGTTGGTTGGTGCTGGCATTTCACGTTACGATGCTGTAGCCTGGTACCAATTACTGCTGTGTTCGGTGGTTGGACCTGTTCTGGCAATTGCGCCAGTGAGTCAAGGGCCAGGCATTTTTGAGCCATGTCAATATGATATTCCTGTCTAGACTGCCAAACTATTATGGGGACAAATTTTTAGCCAAATCTACCATCGTAAACATTTTTAAAATGAAGTCTAGCCCGAATTTTGAAGGCTAGTGTCGTACAGTGTAAGTGGTGCCACAAAATCTATTAGTTCTAAATGAAACGTTGGTGATTTCAAGTTTTCTCCGTTGTTAAAGGGGTAGTTCTAACATTGACCATCTAGCGATGTCCAAACATTGAAAAAGTATTTATGGGCGTGCAGTCATTGCTGTGACGTTGGGCGTGACCTCAGTCTCTGAATTTCCCCTGAACGTCGCTTTATGTCATATGCCCTTTCCAGAACAGCTTTATAACGGCTGATTCGCTTGCTGTCGCTCATTCAAGACCCTCCGCTCGCACGCACGTTATGTTACTCAACTTTGATTCCTTCTCTTTTTATTCCGAGTAGCGTTCACACTTCGCGACTTCATAGCGGTTCACGGCATCTGCAAGGGTTCAGGCTCGTATTGGTCTTGCAGATAGCGTGATTCAGGCGATTTGGTGAATTGCTCCGGGGCGCAATTGTCGACACTCTAGTTCGAATCGCGCTCAGTCGGCTTTGCGAGCTATAAATGCAATACATTTTTCGCATTGGGGGAGGTGGGGAGGCAGGGCACGCCGTCGCGTCGCGGTCAGTTCCTGAAAAATACGACCCCCTCTAATTCCATCCTCAAATACGACCCTCTCCCTCCCGCTACCTACCACACTTTCCTACATTTTCCCAACTTCATACCACTTTTTCTAATTTTCCCAAAAAATTTCTGGTTTTTCCCCATTTTGCTGTCTAGCGGGGGATGGAGAGGTACGTCACAAAGGATTTAACTATCTTTTCCAACTTACGGAAATATGTAGCCTGTACAGATCTTTTGGCAGTCCCTCTACCCAACACGACCAATACGATTCGCTCCTCCATAACGTCCGTGAAGAAGACTCGCCACGCTGAACTACGGACCCCCCCCTTGTGATCATCCACAACGATGGCGTGCCCTGATCGGATCGAAGACCGCCGTTTGAAGTTTTCTATTGACTTCGCGAAAGTCGCTGCCCCCCCTGCTTAGGACCCGACTGCAGATAGCGTTCGCAGGAGGAAGGCAGCCCACGGAAGCGAAGCCAACTTCTTTCGGTAAAAAGAGGATTCTTGCTATGGTAATTCCAGTTTTCCATGAGGAGTCCTTCAGATGCCCTCCTCCCCCTCAAGACGAACAGCGCCGAATGCAGTTACTGTTTTTTTAATGTCGCACTTCTCGTGCAGTGTCGCCAGCAGTCGTTTAACGCCAACAACTTAATCCGCTACCCGCTGCCACTCCTTTTGGGATTGTTACCGTTCGCGTTTGCCGTCGCTTCGGTTTACGTCCGTTGCCGTTTTGCCTCGCGTTCTTTCTATTGCACTGTTATTGCGAATGATGTATAAGAAAACTCAACCTCTGCTGGAAATTGTCAGCAATGAGTCCCAGCTCTAACCCTAACTTCCATGCCCCGTGGTAGAGGTGGGAGCGCTAGTTGCCCTTCCAGTGTGTATTCATCATTTGTGCACCTCTTTTCTCACAGTCCCAAGGAGGAGAGGCGCAGCAATTAGGACGACAGTATGTCAAGCTCCGCCCATGGGATGAACAGGGAATTCGTCGTTGAACGATGAAGACTACGCACCATGAGCGATTTTCACGCATCGTAGGGCGAATGGTGACCCATTTGAAAGATTCTTAAAAGCCTAATCCAAGGAAAGGGTTAAGGAGTGGACCACGCTACCAGTGGGTGGATGCTGAGTGGGTTTCGTTGGAAGGAAAAATTTTTCTACTTACCTCTGTCGCATATCTTTTTCTAAATGTCGTGCCAAATCATATTAGCCCTCTGCTGTGATTTTTTTCCCCAACACTGTTTTGGGCACAGTCCGGCCTCGGTGGGGCAAAGGTCACCTTGTAGAGACCCATAGATTCTTTGAACTAAGGTGGCTCAGCTACTTCGCAGCTTCACAAGACTTTCTCACTCTGTCAGTTCCCTTTGTTAGTCCAAGTTACTCATTGATCTCACCAACAAAGGCTAAGTACCCCCACCCACCTCTTTCCCTTCAAGCCGAACAACGCCTCACCTAAAAGAAAAGGCTACCCCATCTCAACCCGAGCCTATGTCCACCAGCGATGATAGACATCGACCTGACCAGTGGGGACGATGGCTATTACCCGTGAAAATTTTCCCAACTGAACAACTCAGTGCCCACAAGCAGTGGTGGACAGGGTCTTGGCAGCTATTAGGTGCACGTTTTCCTCTGTTATAGCTGATTTACGAAGTTCAGATGAGAATTAGTCCTTTCAAGCTCCCA